TCTGCAGACAGATGGGTCATGAACAGCAGGATGTGAGTGCAGCCCTGGAGAATCACTACAGCCACCAATTACCTGGAGAAAATGCTCCATTCTCTGCAATGTTTATCACCTGCACCCCCGGAGCCAAAGCAATCATGCCAAAAAGATTATTTCCCATATCTCCAAGGCACAGTGCAGACATGCATTCCAGAACTAACAAAGCACCACCAAGGCAGACCACGACCTCAAGGATACAGGAGCAGGTAATTACAGGGCAGCAAACAGGCAAAAATCAGGACTACAGGCAACAAGGTGCTCGAATCAGGGACACTCAGCAGACATTACCTTTGACTTGCTTGTCCTTTCAGTTCTTAACTAGAGAGAGAGAGTGTGCATGTAGAATAATAGGACAGAACAGAGGAAAAATCCAATTAATGTAGGGAAGGCAGGTGCAGATAACAGGATAAATTAGTGCTGAGGGAGGGAAAGGAGACATACAGGAATAGTCACACATGATTGTAGGATCCTAAGAATTTCTGACCAACCAGAGCACTCAATGGAGTCCACACATGGACAGATATTAAATTCTTTTTTTTTTTTTTTATCATAGGATGAAAATATTTGTTAGTGTTGAAGGAACACACTCCACTGGACAGGGGAATGGAATCACAGAATCATGGAATCACAGAAGGGTTTGTGATGTGAAGGACCCCAGAAATCATCAAGTACCCTCATATAGGCAAGGACACCTTCCAGGTTGCTCAAAGGAATCTGGACTCCTCCAAAGCCCTATCCTAATGGGAAACATCACTCCCAGACCTTGGCACCAGGATTTCCAGCCCAGTGCAGAACTCAGGGGTGGGAGCAGCTCTGCCCTGTCCTGCATTAGCTGGGGGTGCTGGAAGGGAACCAGGCACCTGTGCCCATCACCCAACTCCAACATCCCATATCCCAACTCCAACATCCCATAATCCAACTCCAATACCCCACAACCCAACTCCAACATGCCATAACCCAACTCCAACATCCCAAAACCCAAATCCAACATTCCAGACTCTCAGTGCCTGGAAGAGTGTCAGGAAGGGCCCAGATCTGATCAGATTATGAACTCTCCTCCTGCCCATCCAGCAGCATAGATTGAGACACATTGGGAAGGGAAATCCCTGGCAAATGTCATTCTGGGCCAGCTATAGTAATAATAAATATTATTAAAATATTATTGTTAAATATATATATTTATATTTTCTTATATTTGATATATTTATAATTTTAATATATTTTACATTAATATAATATTATTGTTATATATATTTATATAATATAAATAATTGTAATTCAATATATTTATTTAATATGTAATGAAGGGCCAGCTATAGTTTCCTGCCTTATCCCAGGGGCACTTCCCCCAGCAGAATGCCAATTCCCAAGTGCAGCCATGGAGCTGGTTTCCCTGGTTTCCTGGCCCAAGGCATGGCCTTGCAGGAGGATGGGAAAGGGAGCTGTTTGTGCAAACAGAGGGGCTGTCACTGGACCAGCAGCAGCCAGTCCAAGGCACCATTTCACCTTTTTAAGGGTTTGCTGATTCCATGCTTGGGAAGTCAGTTGGATTTAATCAAATTTCAAGCATATCACAATATTTGTTTAGTGACTTGGGGGGCTGGCAGGGGAGCTGGCACTGATAATGGGAAATGGTTTCATATGTCACAGTACTCAGAGTTTGTGAAAAGCCCAATGCCAATAATTTAGGCATAGAAAGAGTTCTGCTGCTTTGGATTAACTGCAAGTCACGGGAACCAGCAAATTTCTCCCCTCCCATTGTCCTGGTATTTTCCTAAAAGCCTGAAGCAGATATTGGAAAAATATGTTTAAAAAAAATAGCATAAAAAAATAGAAGGAAAATTTCAGACACCCAACCAGATAAAATTGGTCAAATAAATAAAATGTTTCAAATTTCTGTATGAGGCTTTCAAAGAATCCCACTATAGGTGGGCACTCAGAATCTGTTATTAAGAAAGGGATTACATCTTAGGAAAAACACCAAAATCACTTCATTGTTCCTGAGAATATAATCATCAGTGTCCAGATTTCTTGGACAATTAACAAGGAGGGTGAGGATTTGAAGAGGAGCTCCTGCAGCCACAGCCAAAAGCTGTATTTCCTACTTTCTCCTTACAGTTCCGTGAAGCAGAAAATTCTTATAAAAATCTCTTTCCTTCTGTCCCATTCCTGCCAAATCAGGAGGAAAAATGCCATTTTTCTTACTAGAAGATACCCTTTGATTGCCTCTGCTTTGAGTTCCCATCTCTACAAACCCCCAGTTCATGGCACAGGCGCAGCCACACAGTCCCAGTGTGAAACAACCACAAAATGCTGCAGCTTTAGGAACTTTCCTCTAAGTGGGAACGTTTTGGGGTGCAGTGGGGAATGCCAGCAGTGCCCCAGGCTGGCTGATGCCAGGGAGCAGCAGATCACACACTCTGCTGCTCTCTGCAGCTCTGCCCTCAGGCTACCAACATCACAGCAGAAAGGTTTGCACACACATTTAGGAGCAGAATGGGCTGCTGTGTTTATAAAATACACCTCCTGAACAGAGCAGAGAAATCCATACAGTAATTCCTGGACTGACAGCAGTGATTTTCATCTTTGAGGAGGGAACAGGTTTACTGTTATCTGAGAGCACATTAGACATCGTTCCTGATGTGGTTATCCCTCAGTGGAACACAAAGGCTGATGATGGAAATATTGTTTGTTGATGTGGGTTTTCCATATTCAATCTCACTTAATGCTCTGGTTTGGATCTTAAAATTTACTTAGTATCATACCACATTCACTAAGAAAATCAAGGAAACAAAAAGCCCTGAACAAACAACCCCAACATTTATGGACTACTGACAGTGCCACTACTGCAGATGGTTAACTAGGCACGGCAAGGACTAAGCTAAACCAGACACGTCTACAAAAAAGAAAATAAAAATATTTATGCAGACTTTTTTCCTTCTGTCATTGCCAAAATTAAAAAAAAAAAAAAGACCTCTTGACAGCCAAACAACATAGAGGAGCTTCTAAGTAAGGATGCTATGCAGAAGCTGGGACAATGATGTGATCTACAGCAGAGAAGGGTGAAGAAAATCTGGTCTTACCAGTAAAGAATATAGGGGATTTACTTCGAATTTCCTCCAATTTTTGAACGAACAAGGCGTTCATTTCCCTCTGTAGGGTGCCCACTTGCCTTCGAGAAGGTTCAGACCAGTGCTTGGGGAACTCTGGGCTTCCAAGGCTCTCTAGACTGCTGGAGTTGGAGGATATGGAGCCATTGCTGGCTGCAACCAAGTTGACAGTGCTTCCATATTTGCCACCTGACTGGCAGTGCCAGCGCTGCCGGGAATGAGCCTTCATCCCGTGGCACTTAGAGTCACCACTCGTCTTCCCTGGGCTCACAAAAGACTGGGTGCTCCTCCTCGGGTCACCTGCGGGTCCAGGGCTGCTGCAGGGCTGCAAATCTGAGTGTGGCCTGGGCTGCCCTCTGACCACCCAGGTGTGCAGCTCTACCCTCTCCTCTGCACTGCTGCCCTGCCCGGGGTGCAGGGGCTCTCTAGCAATGGGCCTGCCAGGGTGGTCACTCCAGGGCCCCTCTGGGTCAGGGCTCTCCTTGGAGCCAATCATGCATTTCATGCAGTTGGTGGCCATGCCGATCCTGCCCGAGCTGTTGATGGCACAGCGGGCGAAGACGCTTGGCTTCTCTCCCTGGGGCTCCTGCAGCCTCACCCTGTGTGCCCTGGGCAAGGGCTCACTGAAGGGAGCCCCGGGGTGGGCACAGCTCTGCCCTGGCCCCTGGGGACAGCCCTGGGCCTTACCTTTCAAGGCCTTGCCAGGTGCCTCCCCAGCGGCACCGTCGCGGGGAGCTGGGGACGGGGAAGCGCTTTCTGGCTCTTGCACAAAGCGAGGCTGGGAGGCAGCTTCCACTTCCCGCCCTTCTCCAGCCCCTGCAGAGCTGCTGTCCTTTGTGTCAAAAGCAATTTCTGGAAAGCCTTTCTTGTTCTTCTTCTGGCTCTTGGTGGGTGCGCTGGCCGTCCGTCTCAGGATGTGGCTGCTAAAGGAATGTTTGCGATGGAGCTGCCCAGCAGCATGACTGTCCAGAGAGGCCTGCTTTGGATTTCTGAGAAACAGCCCTTTTAGACCTAGAGCTTGTTTGGCCTGCAAAAGAAACGAGAAAAGAATAAAAATATAAAAAAGTCCCTTATAAAAAAAAATGCAAGGCTCTTCCTCTGGGCACAGGAACTCATGAACAAATGATCGTTCACATGCAGCCTCCTGCTATATTCCTGCCATCAGCAGGAGAACTAACCCAGAAATAGGACAGGCATTAAAAATGAAAAAAAAAGAAATCACTAACAGCAGCCTTGCAAAATAACACATCTCTTTTTTTTTTTTTTTCTCAGCTCTGTTTTTAGATAACATTTTCCAGCCACACTTATCTCTGTATTTGTCATCATTTTCTTTCTAGCATGTAACTACTTACAACATCTACATAAACATTAGAGCTACTGAAAAGACAAAAAAAAAAAAAAAAAAGGAAATATTTCTGTCTACAAGGCTTTCATTCTGAAAGCTGAAGAGTTTCTCAGTTTCACCCAAAGCAGATGTATTTAAAGTTCTTGCTGTAAATGAATTTTCTAGGAACTGCTGGGAAATAAACACTGACCATAAAATAAAATATTTTTTCAATATAAAGGAGATCTACACTTGAATTGAATTGAGCTGTCAGGAATAGCAGTTAACTAGACACACACAAAAGATCATTGAGTATTTCAAATTTCTACCTGTGTGATTACATTTTGGTAATTTTTCCTACCATACAACACTTATCCCAAGACACTGGTGTATGTGTTCAGCACTGAGGAAACACACTACAAACAAGGGAAGTTAGTGTCATATTACAGTTCTCCATAGTCTTCAGTAGTTATTTAAGCATTCAACACATAAATTCACCATCATAAATGTCCCACCACCATACAACTGATTAACATTTCAATGAAACAGAGGTCCAGCATTCCTGCAAACATTCCAGGTGTACTTGCCAACTTTTCCAGCCCAGGCTGATGCCTGAGTCAGCGTTGGTTTGCTCTGGGCACAGAGATCCCTTCCAGCACAGAAAGGTATTTCTCTTTTAATCTACTTCTCCCTCTTTGCTCTCTTTATTTCCCACTTGGATCAGACTTTTGAGCAGCTGCAGCACCAGAATGAACAAACCCAGGGTGGATCATGGCTGAAGTGCATTTTAAGAAGCCCGTGACAGAACCTGAGCAGCAGCCACGCTCGCTGGTGCTCGCTGCCAGTTCCAGTTCTGCCCTGTGATGTCACACGAGGTCACATTTCTGCAGTGCCAAACAAAGGCACAGAAGGGTCTCATTTAAATTACAACAGCCTTTCATCCCCAAATAAATATTTGAGTGCCTGCTTGTGCATTTCCAGTTCTGCCGTGCAGGACTTAATGCAGATGTTGGCTGCCCTGTGCACTGAGCCTGGGCTAAGAGCTGCTTTTACCCTGGGTGTTCTGCCCAAGCTGCCATGTGGGACCAAGGTTTATTTGGCTGACACAAGGGCCAGTAAAAGTGTTCATAATATTATTTTTTAAATGAAATATTTAGTCAATTATAATTGACTGAAGTTTAGTTATCACGTGCCAATTTCCAGTGTGAGTAGGACATTATCAAAAATTACCTTTAGGATAAAATAGAGATGGTGGGGGTTGAATTTTCCCATGCAAGGCAAATATTAAATATAGGAAAACCTTCTGTGAGAGCCAGACTATTGAACAGTCTGCTTGGATTACTGGGAGACAAGTTGGCAAGTACATGAATTCATTGCTATAAAAATAAGACCATATAAATATTTGCAAAACCCAGAAAAATTGTCATACAAACAACACAGACAAATAATATCCACCAAAAAGAAAAAGGAAGCACTGATGGAATGGGTGACACGCAGTGCAGGGCCCAAGGTGTCATTCTGGCTTGTTGGCTGCAGCTTTGTTAAGCTGGACACTGTTGCTTGAATCAATGAAGTGATTCAAGAACACAAAGGCAGATTTGATTAACTTGGGGGGGGAAAAAATTTTAAAAGAAGGAAAAAAAATAAAAGAGAGCAGTTTTGAGGGAGATCCAGGACACTGTGCTTTCAGCCTCCAGCCCAGCTTTTACAGGGCTGTTTCACTCTGGAAAGCAGACTTGAAAAACAGCACAAGAGGCTTTCCCACAATTTAGCAAATGATTCACTGTCAATGTTCTTTTCAGCGTGAAAGAAGGGGTTTGAATGATAACCCTCCAGAGAAAAGGCAGGAGAGGGAGAGGCTCAGAGAAGGGGGAGAGTGGCAGGACTTTTATCCTGGATCTGCTTCACACGGGGAGGGCTCTGTGGCTGTCCATGACCCCACAGGGGCGAGCCAGTCAAATGTCACAGCTCATGTTCCATGAGTTGGAGAGCTCGGAAATGCTACCAAGGAAAGGTTGATGCTGATGAAGCTACCAGCTCAAGGCATGCAGGTGTGTGGTGGTGTCTGCACCTCCCTGGGGCAGGAGGGGTACCTTCAAGGCGTCTAAAAACGCTCTGCTTCTAAAAGGAGACTTTTTTGACATAGAGAAGCCCACTGAAATCACAAACAGACAGAGTAAAGGCAGAGTAACGGTGAGGGAGGAGCTCAGAGATAGGCACATCTAGAAAAACCACAAGAAATCCTGCACTACATCAGCAGACCACAGAAGAGACAGAAACAAAGAAAAGCTTTTCCAGGAAACAGAGCGATCTGGAAGAGATTTCACACATAAGTTAAGGTGAAAAAAAACAAAAACAATCTAAGACTGTTTTAGTAAGACTAAGCTACTGAGCAGGTGGAATATTTCCCTTTATTAAAAAGTCCCAAAATGTAAATGTTTTCATTAGAATCTCTGGATTAATAAGGGATGGGTAAAACCAGGCTGATAACTGGGGTGATTTTTCTGCCCATAATTAAGAGAGGAGAAAAGAAAAAATTCTAATTTCTAAAATTCTTTAGCCAAAAATCAAAGCAAAAAGTGATTCAGACAGACCAAACCAGAAAGGGACGTGTAATATTTGTTCCACATTTTCAGTAGTTTTTATTAAAAAATTTAAATTAAAAAAAAAAAAAAAAACACAAAACCACAACACATACAGATTTTCCTTCCAAATCCTTATATTTTGTCAGTGCACAGAACCACTTCCTAACACCAGCAAGCCCAGAGAGACTGCAGTGACAATGAGAAGCAATCAGGGAACGCCAAGAAAAATCCATGTCCCAAAAAACCTGCCAAAGTTTAAATGGACAGGTTGCTCTTCTGCAAACTATCACTGCCAGTCACTCATTAAGAAGTTAGTAAGAGCAAATAATTCTGAAAGGCCAGGAAATCAAGGCTAAACAGAGAGAGAATTTGCCAAAGGAGGTTTGAATTGAAAATACCTCGAACATTCCCAGAGGATGAACATTGGCCCTTCCATTAAACACTGCTCGCAAGGGCAGCGACTGGAGTTAAGTAACTGAGTGATGATTAAAAGTATAAAAAAGCTGTTTTCCTGTTCAGAATTGCTCAAATTTCCCTCTGGAGGAGGACCTGGGCATTCCCAGCCCGCTGGATGCCTCCTCCTGCTGTCCTGATGCTGATATTGCATCTCACTGCTGCGGGACAAACCGGGATCCTGCAAGGAGCTTTGTGCCTGATTTCACTGAAATTAACAGCACAGATCACTGCACTCAGAGGACAGGAGCTGTCTCCTTTTTATCTGGCCTAGAACAAGTCTGAAATTAGGGCTTTACTTTCGTGGCAATTGAGATGTGGCACCCTGAGAGTTGTTTGTTTCCTGCATATGAAGCAAACACACAAGGAGTGTAAACATGTCCAGCTACTACCAGCATCACCTTTCCTCTGTTTTAAGAGTTATTATGGCAAAAAATCAAAAGCAAAAAAAAGCTTGTGGAATTTAATTAAAGTGCCAAAACAACGGGCAGAGCCTTTATGGCAACAGCTTTGCAGGGAACAAGTGCTCAGGGTTAAGGTGTGTAACCTTTGGTCAGCAAGGTGCACCCACAGTCACATTATTTATATAAATGTGTGTGCTGCAAGAAAATAACCTTCCCCTATGTCTTCCTCAAAAAGGCACTGCAAGAATCTTTTTGATAACTTTCCCTGTGATTTGCCTTTATCTCCATGGATATTCAGAAAGATCTCAGGCTACCATGACAAGCACAGAGATCATTTTTACTCCAAGTGAACAAAAATGTCAGCCTGGACCTTCACCCCCTGATCTTCTCTGGTGTGGTACAAGATCCTGGCAGCTCCTGTGGGGCTGTTGCACACCAAGGAGACACTCACCTTACCACTGATGTCATTTATAGCCACATGCACAAAGATGGAAGCCTCTTCTATGCCTTCCAGGTACACGTGTCTGTAACCTGAAACAGAGGGAGCAGAGCTGGCACAGGGCTGGGACAGGTCACAGGGGGAGCAGCTGGAGGTTTTCCTTTTGTGAGCAGCAGAAGAGATCAAGCAGGTTTCTCCCAGCTCCTCCTCACAGTGAGGATCCAGGCTTGAGCATCACCTTGCCACGCTCAGGTACCTGAGCCACACCACCTGCAAACTTCACCCCCCTTTTTTGTCATGATTTCATAAAACAGCCCTGTCCTGTTTCATCCAGGCTCTGTTATTGCTGCTGTCAAGCTATGATTTAAACTTGACCACATTCCCTCCTCTGGAGTTTTAGTCCTTTATTGAGACTGCAAACCTTTCATCCAAGGTCAGTTTAGTGAGACTGGATGGTTTTTTTAATCTTAAAGACAAACTTTTTTCTTTACTTTGAAAGGAAAGAAAAATACACACACAAGAAGTTTTAATGTGAAAGAAGACTGAAATGAAAACAGAAAGAGGAAACTGTCAGAAAATGGCATTTAATGGCCTGGATCCCATCATTAGAAGAGGTAACTTTCTATTCTGTGTTAAACTACTACTCATAGTCACAAAACCAAGCAAAACCCTAGAGATTTTTTTCAAAAACTGGTATGAAGAAAGAGAGTGAAAAGCACTAAAGGAGTAAAGATTCTGTATAGCAGCCTGCCAAGCCCACAGTATTTACCCACCCTGCTTAACCATCTTACCCACTTTTTCAAAATCTAATCCCAAAAATCTAGAGCTAATTGATTTAGTCTTCATCACCTTATCAGTCAGGAGCTGATTAAGGCAGACAACTCAGGGCCCAAACTCCAGTCTCTTGTCCTAACTAGAAATTTCCGTAGCAGACAGATGAATTTTGATTTTTTTCACAGGAAAAAATCCCAGCCCATTAATTTGGGATGTCAGCTTTCCCTTACCTGGCATCATGCTGCTGAAGGCTATTGTCCTCTGCCCGATGAAATCCCTCCCGATGGGGTCGTGGTCCCATACCAGGAACCGGATCAGGGCAATCTCTGGCATGTGCACTGTGAACACCAAGGTCTCCTCCCACATGGGGTTAAAACCTTCCAGAGGGGGAATCAGCCTTTAGGAATCTCATTCACAACAAACAACAAGTCTGCCCAAGCTGTGGTGTCGTTCTGGTTTTCCTGACTGATTGATTGTTCTCGGAAAATCCAGTATTCCCACAAGGAACAGAGTTGGGTCTTGCCTAAATTTGGCCAACCTGCCTTTTGACCACAGCAAGCTCAAAATACCCTTCTCTCACACATAATGAGAAAACAAATGTTTTGTTTCTTACCAAGGCCTTCAGCATATTTATACCAACTCAAACAAGTCAAAATCCAGTTTAATTAACATTTAAAATGCTGAAATCCAATTTTCAGTGTTCTGCCATAATAGGCACCAAATCTTATCTACTCCTATTCTTATGAAAAAAACTTGCCTGAAAGAGGACGTTTCAGCCATAAAAAAACCTAAATCCCAGACAATCTTACCATTATCATCAACTACTCTGGTTTGTTCTTTGAAGCAATCAACAGGCAAGCCTATAACTTCTACTTCAACAAATGGATCTATGATCTGAAAAAAAAAACAACAAATATTGAAAAGAAAGAGTGGCAAAGATGAAACCCAAGCAAATGGCTTTTACAATATGGGCACTGTACATGAGTGTCTGGGTAATTATTGGTCCTGAGCCTTATGGAGTGGATTATTAAATTGATAACATTTCTCTCTCTTGTTTTTTTTTTTTTTTTTTTGCTTCTTCTGGAAGTATTGTGTTGGCAACTGAGGAAAACCATCAAAGCACAGCTGTGATGCTTAAAAGAGAAGAAAACCACCTGAAGATGTAGGACGTTCATGACCTAATTTATTCATGGTCTGTGTCTCCTGACAAGCAACTGCAGGATGTGAAATCCTCATCCTCAGCCCAGCCAGAATGGAAATAAACCTTCTGCATCACAAAATAACAACCACAGCTGTCCCATACCTCTCCTCTGTCTCCCAGCATGGAATCACGTGGTTTGGGGAGCTGTTGACCACTGATAATTCTTAGAACCAGCTGTTTCTTCAATTGACCAGGCAGGGGGTCTTCAGAATTTGGGTTAAAGACACCTGTAAGAATGAAGGGTCCCATAATGTGAAAGTGCAACATGACTTTAATTACAGATACCTTCTGGCTCTTTGGATCCTGGCATCAGAAATGAATATCTAAACAAACTGCAACAAGGCCTCACAGTCAATCCTGTCCTGCAATCAGTGTTGCACTGGTTGTGCTGCTTTTCCTTACCTTGACACATGCAGTTTGGTTTGAGGACATAGCCACAGTTCCCATTGGCACTGAATTTGGCCCGGTTCAGTTGCAGCATTCTCCCCTCTGACTGGTAGTTTAGTGCAACTATTAAAAAAAAAATCAGATTCCAATTTGACCTCTTAAATGCAAAAAAAAAAATCAGATATCTTATGGAAGACTATTCTCATCTATTACAGCTTCAGGGGGAGAAGCTCTCCAGAAGAGCTGGACTCTGAAGCCCTCTTGCATTTGAGAAGTTCTTTTATTTCCATTTACCAGACAACTCCTTGCATGTAAATCACATGTTCAAGGTAATCAGTCCAGGGACAGTACCAAGGAGGACTCCATGGTCAGCAAAGCTGGGTAAGCAGAGGAATCAGAGTGTCCTAAGGGGTGATTCCAGAGCTCCTATTCAAACAACCTGTTGAACTAAGCTCTTTTCTGACCCAGAGATGGGGCAGCTGAGAGGTGTTTCAAAAACTTTTATTCTATTTTCAGTCTCATGTGAAGGGTGAGACAACACAGATGTTATAATTCACACCACCACAAGCAGAAGCCAATTATTTCCTAATTACAATACAATTATAAGCATTCCTTGGCCTATCAGCTTCTGTTATAAATGTTTTAAAGCCAATCATCTAAAATTTCCCCTTGTAAATCTCACTACAAAGCACCTTTCATAGTTCTGTTTCTCCAAAGTATCCAGCCTTATTTGCAAGGCCATCCTTTGAAACTTGTTTCTATCTCCATTTCTCCCTCAACAACGTCTATCCTATTCCATGGACGGAATTCTCTACAAATCCATTTCCCACAACATCCCTCCCAAAAACAGAAGGAAAAATAAAGACGTTTCCTTCCAGCTCACCAAGCTGGCAGCCAGCATTCCAGAAGGGCTGGGGGTTGTAGTTGCTGGAGTCCACTCTGTAGGAGGAGGGGTAGATGCGGGACAGCTGGTGCTGGTTGAAGCGCAGGTACTGCGCTGGCTTCTGCTGCAGGATCTGGTGGGCTTTGGTTTCACTGAAAGATGAAACCTGCCAGCTGGAAGAGACTGCAGAGGAGATTAGAGGTAATCTCCTTATTCATTTATTCATTATCTAGATAAAGCTTTCAAAAGTACATAGCATTGGTTCCTTTTTAGCTATCAAGCATCATTTCAGTGCATGCCACTCAGAGGGAACTCTGTTTTCCTTAAATTACAGCAGACACTGTGCTTATTGGAGCAGTTGTGGTTGGGAAAGTGAAGCTGAATATGATGATGACCTGAATCTTCATTAAGAAGTCTTCTTCTAATGAAAATATATGCAAGAACATAAATATTTCCATTTCTTTGTGCAGCAATTATTTTCACCAAACTTTTAGTTCAACTTACTTTCAGTTTCAACATCATGGATGCCAACAGACTTTGTGTATTTCACCAGGTCAGACAGGGCCCTGGACAGCTTCATTGTCTTCTTCTGTCGGCTTACCCTAGAAAGGTAACAAATTAACAGAACAAATCAACTTCCCACCAATTAAGGGGTAAATGTTATCTTTCATATTTAAAAATAAATCAGGGTAAAGAAATAGATGAGACAGTAAGAGCTCAAAATGTGTAAAAGGTCCACTGTGCCTTGCTAATTAATCTGAACAGCACCAAGAGGTCATTCTGGTGATTTTGTGGCAGACATTGCATCTCCCCACAATCCTGTCACCAACAAACTGGCATCTAGACCAGATGCAAACCTGTTTAGTGGGTGCATTTATGCTGGCATATTTTAGCAACAAAGTTGTCCAATCATTTGTTAACAAACCTGCTGTAATGTACAGAGCTCCTGGCCAAATTCCCTTGAGAATCCGAATCGTCTTCACCCTCTTCCAAACTTGATGCCTTTTTCAATTTGCTTCCTTTTTTCTGTGCCAGAAGGAAATAAAACCACAATATCATATCTGTGTGATCAAAGTTTGAGCAGCTGGCTACAATTCTGCTTTGTTATGCCAATGAGTGTGTTACTTAGAGAAAATGGAAAATGACAGCTTTCGTAACACTTGGCTCTGCAGCACAATTTGCACATGGGGAAAACTCAGCCCAAGGTCTGAGCCTTGTTATAAAGGAAGCCCAAATCCTCAGATAAAAGGTGTAAATTATTTTTTGTCGTTCTCAGGTAGATCTTGGATGCCCTCAGACCTTCATATAGATTGAATCTCTGTTGTTATGCACAATGATAAGCAGCTCCCCAGCCTGCCTGTTCAGTGAACAGCCTCAGAGCGAGGTGCTGCAGATGTTGCAGTTATGAAATTCCTCTCCTCTGCGTGCAAAACCAAAAATCCCTCCAAGAATCCAAGCTCTGGTGCAGACCTCACCTTGGCAGGGGCTCACCTTGCGTTTGGAGAAGCTGCCCATGAGTGACCTGCTGTGCCTTTTGCTGGCACTGAAATCTTCCCCAGATTCTGCATCATCCTCAAGTTTACTCTGAAGCAACCAAAGAGAGAGGAAAAAACACAGGAGCTCAGAGAGAGTGCTCAGACAGTCTCTGGATATCAGCACAAACAGGAGGGGGTTTTGGCACTGACTATTCTGGGTAACATCTCTGCTAAAGGGTTTGGAAGCCTTGACCTTGTAGTGGCTCTCACAAGAATTCTCTGATGCATCATGTAAAGCATTGGATTTAAAATACATCAAAACTCACCCCATTGAATGTTTTGGGAAGCTGTTTTTTAGTTCTCATCCCTAGTTTAGTTTTAATCCCTGGTTATTACACCTGCTTGTTGTTGGCAGATCTCCACTGCTTTTCACTTGCATGGAACAATCTTCCCAAAGTTTTTGTGGCTTATTACAAAGTCTAAAATGAAAATGCCTCAACTTCATGAAGTGTAGTCTGTGGGCTGAGTACATTTTTATAAATTAGAGTTAATATAAAACTAAAATTTAACTGAAAATGCATAGAACACAGAGAACTGAGGAACAAAAAGAGCCCAACATTCATAAGCAGTTTTTATAAAGGAAAATCAATTTTTTTCTGTTGAAAAGTCATTTCAGAGTACATTTCATGCTCCAATTGCTGTGTGAGCAAGATAAATAGTTTGTATATCTGACAGTGATGTTCACCTGGCATCATCATTAACTGCATGAATTCAGCTATGAAACTGAAGTCAATAGTACAAGATATATTTAGTAAACTAATGAAACACAAGTACAATTAAATACAAATTCACCTTCTTACTATCAGACTTCAGCCCAGCCTTTCCTGAGGATGGCAGAGTGGAAACTGTAAAATTGTTTGGATCTTCACAGTCACGGATTTTGGATTCTTTTATCAGTGAGTCAAGTTTTTTCTTTGCTATATTCTCCACTCTTTTCCTGTTAGCAGATGCCTGCAAACAAACCATTAAATCATTAAACAAGGCAGTGATGAAGAAAGCATCATGTGAGTTCCATGCCATGTCCAGGCTGACTCTGCAGCTGCAGTAGGTGCAGGATCTTTTGGGTGGAATGGATGGGAGATGATTTAGAATCCTCTTTTCAGCAGATCAAAGGCAAAATGCAAGAGAACTCCTGTTCCTGCTCTGTGTGCACCATGGCCAGTGTGGGGAAGTGAGGAAATAAAACTAAAAATAAAAATCAAGATCTTCCTTTTTCACTCAGGTCTTTTAAGGGGTGGCAGATTGTGTTCTCTCTGTAGGCCCCAAGAATTCCCAGTTACATTTGTCATGAAACAAACTCTGATTTTCTGAACTCTTCAAAATTTCATTTTGGAAAGCAAACCGGGTGTAGGAAACCTCAGACTTAAAGCATCAGTAAATCTCAGCAAAGTGAACTGTTAGTAACAAAGATGGTGCTGTAAAATATTGAAAAGTGATATGCTAACATGTAATAACTTCCAAAGAGCAAAGATATTATTTTTCTCCTTTGGTAGTCTTATTCACAAAGAAGTTTCTCTTTTAGATGAAAAGGATCAGATCCATAATACAAAACGAGGAAATAGCCTGAGGGAGAGAGGACTGAGAATGCAAACTCTCTCCAAGGCAATCTAGTTCATGTCATTAAATGGTTTTGCTGTGTTTTGTATTGTTTCTGCAAGGTGCAGTGGAATTTGCCAAAAGATTAAAGTGACAAAAAATAGAACTTTTAAAAAAAAGATGAAGAAATAAGGGATTTTCAGATTGAAGCCAGCAGAGATTTTTCTTCCAGTAACAATCAATCAAGCCCAGCATTCAACAAAGCAAAGGGATGCTCTGTAAAAATGACCACAATTTAATGAAAATAGAATATTTTCTTCTCTCTTTTTTTTTTTTTTTTTTTTTTTTTCTTTTAGGGGAAAGCACACTGTGATGCACTGAAGAGTCGTGAGATATTACCCTTTAATATTCTAAACTTGAAACATAACCCCTAGAGCAGGTGCTGCTTCCTGTGCACTTTTGTCAGTCTGCCCCCATGAAGGTTTAGAACCTGAACCACTTGTGATGAATCCCAAAGATCAGACCCCACCCCAAATCCAGAGAGCTCCTACAAGGAGCTGACATGGGAAGCCTTGGCAGACATTTACATTCACTTCACTTACATCTCCATTCATTAGTTTACAGTCATCATCAATCTCATCAGCACTGTCCTCATCAGAAACTTCTCCTTCCTCTGCATCATCACTGATGTTGGCTGGAAGTTTCTTGCC